AAAAAAAAAAAAAAAAAAAAAAAAAAATGGCTCACTCTCCCTGACACAAGTTTAATATGGGTGCAATATTATTCTTATAGGGTTAATTATTTAATGCTTGTACAGATGGTAAATACGAGTTTTGCAATGACTTTGATTTGCGAAAGCCCTTTGACAGACATTTTTTCAGCGGGAAGCATGTGGAATGTGTTAGTATACTAGATTCTTCTAGTCTTTCTACTACTCTTGATCGTTGCGCCACATTCCTATCACAAGTTCCAAGGTAATGTTTACCTCTACTTTTCCCTCTAGAATGTATCAGTTTCAGTCATTGCATTAGTTTGTAAAGTATATTCAATTGAATTTATTGTAAAAGATGTCTAGCAACTATTCTTGTTTGATGTAACGAAGAATTGCTAATCTGTTTTTGAGGTGGCTGGAGATGGAAGTAGTTAGATTGAGACCTTGGGTACAGATCCTTCTTTTGTATTTGGAGAAAGTTTGTTAAACAGAAATAGGATCTTCTTATTCAGTGTAGAGGTCCTTGGGATTTGGAAACATAATTAGGCACCAAATTGCATAATGTAGCGTTTTCATGAAATGTAGTTTTCGCCGATGGTAACTACCTGAGTTCATTTTCTACCTCTAAATGCTAGAGAAGAACTTCAGGCCAATCTGAAATGAATTATTCTTTCTTTCATCAATGGTTTATCCCATTTTCAGATTTGGTATTCAAGAAGACTTCAATATATCTGATATAAACCAATTCATTTTAATTTTAAAACGAAAATTAAAATGAATTTCAGGCTACCCAATTGACGGATTCACATTTTCTTTTCCTGTTTCTTGTCTTTTGAAAACAAAATTTTCATACGGAAAAATAAGAGAATGCACAAGGTTGCAGAGCAGTACGGATGAAAGAGGACCTCAACAAATAATACAACAATGTAGATGGACAAGGGACAAGTCCACCCACATTATGAATATCCTTCACATATTCACATTTAATAAATAAAATAATGAATTCAATCCCTAATTCAGGCATTATATCAGATAAATTTTCGTTTTTTACATATTTGAATGTGTTCATTCTGTTCCTTTATCTGGATGATCATCTTCCTTTGTTGCTGACAATATATTGTACTTACTTGGATGTCACATGACAATTCCAGAAATGACGGCAATATATCCTCTGCTGGCCGTATTGCCATTCAATCGTTATGTGCTCCACAATGTGATCATTCCAACATGGTTAGTAACAAATTGAATTTACGCTCTTTGGTTACATGATTATTTGCTCGATTATACTTGATAAATCTCTGTGCTCACTTTCCTCCATAGAAGATTTGAAACGGGGTATTGGATTAAAAAAAAACCTTCGTCTGTAATCTAAAATTTAAAACAAGTGTTTTCTTTTTTTTTTTCTCGATCATTTGAGCCCTCATTGTAAAGCTGGAGCTGCAGGAATGGGAAATGCTTTCCTTTTTAAGGTCTCTGAAAAGCATGCTAAGGTCCTCAAATGCAGTAGCTGTAGTGACGTTTTCTCCTTCCCTTCTCTTGCCATCCTTCTCTAAAAGATGGCAGCACATGGCAGATACCTTGCTTTCTGTCAAGGCAATTCCAGGTTTAGACGTAGCATCTCAATTTCCCTTATTGTCTCTAGAATCAACGAGATATTAACTAAAACTATTGCAGATGAGGATAAGGAATTAGCAAATCTCCTCACTGGTTACCAAGACATGGTTGGCCTTCTCAATATTCATAAAGTGGCTCAAATCAATACGCAGGTATGCATACCTGTAACTTAGGGATGGACCCAACGGTGAAATGCTGCTTCTGCAAAATTTTCTTCCAATGCTTGCTACTTCACTGTTTGCATATTTCTATTGGTTTTGGTCCATACTTCATTCATGTGCCATGATTGAGTGCAATATTTGCTAGCAGCTCTGAATGGTTATTGACTCTTAAAGCCATAGATAGCGTTCTAATGTATTTATTTCTTATTAGGGTTGATACGCATTATTCTTTGGGTTGGTTTAATTTCCTATATGACTGATATCTCCTTTTTAGCTGGCTTTTACTCATGCTCATGGATCCAGAATTTGACTGCAGGTTCCAAGAATTCTTGAGGCGACTACATTCTCTATAAAGTTGCAAAAGAGAAGGTTTTTAGTTTTAGAATGTCTTAATCAAGCGCCTGTTGATGGTTCAACCGGGAGCTCATATGGCTCTACTGGGAGTTGTTCTGGGTCCTCCAAGACAGGTTCTCTCGACTTTTAGTTTCCAAATGATATTAGCCTAAAGAATTTGAGAGTGGATTTTTTAAAGTTAAATTTGAAGTTTAGGATGATTGTTGAATGTTTATATTATCTCCCTCTTTGGCCTCCATTCCTGTATTATAAACATTCCTTTCAAGAGCAAAAGAAATGGATAATTGTTTGAACATCAGTGTATGGTCATAGGATCTAATAAAATTTGATAATTGAGTTATGATTATATGAAATGAATAGACTTCGTCTGTTAAAAAAAACAAAAAAAAAAAACAAAAAGCCCAACTTACAAGATTCCTAACATAAAAATTACAAAAAAAAAAAAAAAGAAAAAAAAAAGAAAAAGAACAGAAAAAATTGTTTCTACTCTACACCTTCAAATCGTATGTAGTCGTACATTACTCCTTGGAAAGGACCTGCATGTCTTCTCTGTGTAAGATAGATTACGTTGTCTCCTTCGACCAAATAATAACTGGGAACATCGAAGTTGAATAACCGATAAAGCCCATGAATGCCATGTCTTGCGATTGCGTTATCTCTTCCTGCATTCCAATACCCAGTCGTGAAAGCAGGTCGTCTGGCCATCGGGTTGTTGAACCGGACATCGACCACCCCATGACTACTGGAGGCCAACGCCAACCGGAGCGTATAGGTTCCGGTCTTTATGGGTCCTCGAAGACGAAACACAATCTGCCACGTAGTTGCTTGGTAGTCCCCGGATTCAGTGGCTCTGGTTACGTGAGCGTAAAACCAATGGCGGCGGTAGTCATCCGTGTCAACGTTGTACACCAGATCCTGATCAGGGTACAAATCAGCGTAGCGTGCCCAGATACCGTACTGCCGGAACTTATCTGGGTTTTGAATTTTGGTGTTGTTGTAAAAGTGGCTCATTAAGGTGGGTTCAGGATCCGGTATGTAGAACTCGGCTGCCTTCCGGTCAGGGATGCCGATCTCCCACAGAGTTGGGCCTCGTCGTGGTGGGTCGTAAATCAGCACACTCAGGTTAGTGGAACTCGCCGCCGTGACGGTGACGTCGCCGTCGTACTTGTAATCGCCAATGACGCCGGGTACCCATGCGTAGAGATTGTAGTTTCCTGGCCTTATATTTTGAATGAAGAAATTTCCATCTTGATCCGCTCGTGTCCAAAATTGATACCCCTATGGATTAAGTCGATTGTCAGTTTCATCAAAAGGAAAAATATAAATATTAAAATTTAAAAGAAAAAAATATAAAATTAAATTTGACCTTGCTCTCAGTTTGCCAAGACCCCACTTCCCCGGGAGCTGCGAGGCCCACAAACGCAGAATCGGCCCACATTTGCCCCTTCTTGGCGAATCTGGCCCAAAACAAAAACGATGTCGTTTATCCTTAATAACATAATTATAATTAGACAAAGACAGCGAGGGAGGCCCACGAACCTATCTCGGACCATTAATCGGCCACTAACGCTGCCTCTTTCCTCTGAGCATGGAAATTCTTTCGACTCGACGAACCCATACGGCCACTTCCCCCTCTCTATCCTCATCTGGTTTTTAGCATCTTCCCATAGTGAACCCGGGGTTTCAGTGCCGGTCGGGTCCGAGTTTAGATAAATGAAAACCGGGCCCAAAACCTTTTTCCATGCTTCTCCCTCCTTAAATCTCATCGAAGCATCCTTACCCGCATAATGATTACTCTTGAACACCTTTAAATTATAAACAATAAATCATATATTTGATTTAATTAAACATAATTACAAAATAAAATTTTGAAATCGGGTGTGCATGGCTTACCGTAAGAGTTGTGGGGCCAACGTGGGATGTGAGTTCTTGCTTGACCGGCCCCCCCGAACGAAACTCATCACTGGCCGTGATCATCCAGAACCCCACGTTTGGGTCCCTAGACACCCATCCATGCACCCTGTTCTCCATATTCTCTTGCGAGTACTGGTACTTATCGTCCACCTGCATCGCACTCAATCATACCCCCATTGCATAAAAATAAAAAATTATACTTTATATTTGTATAAATAAAATAAAACTATACCTCTCCTTTGAGGTCCGGGTTGGTGGGTTGGGTTATGAGAACCGCCTCCGCGTAAGCGAGACGCTGCCCAGTCATCCGGTCCAGTTGCGTGGGCATGATCCTCTGTCGATCGTCCGATATCGCCATGTAATGAAATCTGACCGTTGAGAATTACATCAAATCATCACAAAATTAATAATATAATTCTATAAACAAGGGATGACAAAACATGACGTGGCAAAACTAACTTGTCTCTTAGGGCTTTGTAGGCGATTCTGATCTCGTCCACTCCAAGTTCAGGCCAATTTTCCAGCCGTTCAAATATGCTATATGTATAATATCCAGAATCGCCCCGTCTCAAAATATACCTGATAATAATAAATTAATTATTGTTAGGAATTACGACTCTCCACAATATTGTTAGGAATTACGACTCTTCATAATATAGGAAGGGGAATACCTCTGATCTATGTTCGAAGGGACTGAAAAAGGGTCGGAAGAATTCCAATATCTGGTGAATGAAAGCTCTATTTGGTCACCGGTGGCTGTAACCACCTTCACATTGGTTGCCTTTACTCTGTAAATATACCGTTCTAAAGTTTAAATATTTATTTTTTTCATTTTTTTTCTTATAAAATTAAATAAACGGATTTATTTATGTAATTTATATTTTTCGTATTTACCTTTCAATAATACTTGTCTGATTTGGGGTGTTCCAAGCCAAATCCAAATATCTACGCGACATGTCGATAATAAATTTAGTCTAATTATAAGAATATTATAATGTAATAATAATAATAATAATAAGAGAAAAATTTAGATATTTACGCTCTGTTATTGTATGCATTGTGAAAATCAAGTATGTTATCCATGTTATTGTATTTTATGCCAATAACGTTGCCTTCGTGAGAAAAAGTGACTCGAATCAACCCATTGTCAATTGCCACCTGGACAGAGATTATTAGCAAAATTTCAATGATTAGAAAAACTATATGGTTAAATAATTTAAGATTGGCACTGATATCTCATAGTTTGGAGGAGAGAACAAAGCATTTAAGTATAGAAACCTCTTCCCAACAGACTTGTTTTTTAAACTTTGAGAGGAAGTCCGAAAGGAAAAGCTCAAAGAGAAAGTGATTGGAGAAAGGAATGAATGTAAGTAAAAATGCTGGACTCCGAAGAAGGTGGATTGATGGGGAAAACAAAACATTTCTTACAAGGGGATAGAAACACACTCATGCATTTTAAAACCTTGAGTAAAAGTCTAAAAATGACACAAACGTGTTTTAAAAACGAGTGAGAGGAAGTTTAAAAGAGGACAATATCTGCTAGCGGCGGAGAACCACACATACGCATTTTAAAAATCTTTAAAAAAAAATCTAAAAAAGACAATATCTATTAGTAATGGACTTAAGATGTCACACGAAATCATTTGTAATAAAGCAATAAAAATATAGGAAGAAGAAGGATTGGCACCTGTCCACGAATCTGCCATTGTAGGGCTACGTCGGGTGCCAACGGCGGGGACGAATGCTGCTGTTGTGGCAGTGCTTTGGCGAGCGATAAAGTGAAGATGAATAAGAGAAGGAGCGCCATTGATGAGAGCTCAAGCTTCCAAATCCATGGCTGTGTGCTTCTTCTTCTGTCTTTCTTCTCCATTGGCTTCTTTCTGTTGGGGCAGTTCAATGAGCTCCAAAACGTAAATACAGTAGAGAAGAAAGGCTCTTTTCCTTTTTCTCTCTTTTTCCTACGGATGAAGAGTTTCGTCTCAACGAGGTTGCAGGCTTGGGTTTATATAATAGAAGGGTAAATTGAATATTATATTTTAAAGATAAAGAAAAAAAAAATAAAAAATATTAGATTATTGGTTTAAAATATGATAAAGATATTCTACCGTAATTTAAAAAGTATACGGTAAAAGAAAAAAATAAAAAAAATTAAATCATTTGTTTAAAATATGATAAAGATTTTCTATTCAAAATTTAAAATTTTAATAGAAAATAATAGTATAATTTTAGGGGATATTTTTAGATAAATCATAATTATATCATTCTAGTCTCAATTTTAATTATCTTCATATTTATGAAATATCAATAAACAAAAATATTAGATCATTGTTTTAAAATAGGATAAAAATACCCTATTTAAAATTTAAAAATATAATAGAAAATGATAGTATAATTTAAAGAAATATTTTTAGATAAATCAAAATTTAAATCATAATTATACCATCTAATCCCAATTCTAAACTATGGTTGTTATTTGATGGAATTTAATTAATAATTAATTTTTTTATGCTAATATAAATATATTTAAAACAATATATATAATTTTAAATTCTTGTATTATACTTTCGTAAGGTTTTAATAATTTAAACCAATGAGGAGGAAATATGTATAAATTTTCGAGAAAAAAATAAAAAATTATTATTGTGAATAGACACTCGGCCAATTTAAAATTGTGTCTGAGAAATGGAACATATAGATTTTGGAAAAAATGTTTGAGAGGAGTGACAAAACTTAGATTACATATTTTCAGGTAGAAATAATAGACGATAGTTGTATCTTTTAATAATGCATTTTAAGTCTACTGGATAGTATATTCTAATACATTTCAAATCTAAGTATAGGCATGATTTTGACGAAAAGTCGTATTAGTTTAGTCTTTATACAAATTTTAATTAATAAATTTGATGGAAGAAAAAATATTTGTAATTGCTCACTAATCACGAAAAAATTAAATCTATATGATTACACTATTTTTAGATCACTAACGGAAACTAAAATAATAAATTTACTGGTAATTTTTTAAAATTTATCTTTTTTGTTCGAAGAGAAAAAACAGAGCAATTTTGCTTTTAAAATTATATTTAGAATTACACTTTTTCCTCCCCAATATATATAATGGGTTAAAAAATGAAAAAATTAAAAAGAAAAAAAAAGCGGCCAATCAATGCCCGCCACCTGCCATCACAAAACTGTACACAGAAGATGAATGTTCATCTTCTTCTTCGTAGATCTACTCCTCTGCAATCTCCACACACTTTTACTCTTGTTCATCATTTTATTATGCATAAATCTCAAAGCATCAAAATTAAGCAGCCAGAAAAGAAACAATGCAATTTAAGGCAGAAAAACCTACGATCAATATCGCAAAATCCGAATCTCATTTTC